TTGCCAGCCTATAAAGAAGGTAGTAATGTATGTGTGTGGGTGTGCTTTTCGTCGCCTTAAAGGCAAAGCTATTACAGAATATTAGTAACGATTTGCTGTACGTTTATGCAGTTGCATTTTGGTTTAAATAGTAAACCATTTTTTTTTTAAATCGTGCAGTTCTTTTTTTTTTCCTATTTGCTAGGAACTGTTTAAGGTTTCCATGGTAACGTTATCGTTGCCATAGAAAATGTGACATCAGAGTCGCGGCAAGAAGATAATCTTGTCTCAATGACGTCAGTGCGTAAAGAACGTTATGTATTCGCTTTCCAAGGTGAAAACCTTAAACCGTTATAGGCTGTTGATTAGCTAGCTTATAAAAAAAAAAAGTTTACGCGCACAAAGAGCTTAGTTATATCTGTGGGACTGGACGAAATGCTCTGTAATTTTCAACCCATTAAGCCTTCCATCTTCTCTTGTAACAAACACTTACGTACACTATGCTTTTAAGTAAAAATACAGAAATATTTACACTCTCATCATTGTATGGAAAATGAAACGATTCTTTTACTTTTATGCGCATGAACTTTCCTTGAAATGGTACTTGAGAAAGGATTTGTATACTTTAGTATACAGTTGACATGCTAAGAAGCACAAATATTAAGAATAAGCTGGCCGGATACATGGTTCGCGTCCCGTTGCCGCATGAAAAAAAATGCGTTAAAGCCAAATCCCACTATTCGGTCCAATAAGAATAGTACAATAGTTGGCGGTGGGTGTGTTGACTATCTGCCTTCATTCCATCAGTTTAAAGTTAAAGACGGCTTTGCGCAGAAAGCGCATTGCATAGTTTTGCACAAAAATCTAAAAAAAACAACAACAAAAAACGGCTATTTTTAACCTTCCAAAATTCATTTTAGGTTACGCAGTATATATACTTGTCATTGAAATATGTCTGACAACAGATGTACAACACCCCCACCCACCCACCCACCAGTGGCACAGCGGTATGTCTGCGGACTTACAAAGCTAGAAACCGGGTTTCGATAGCCGTGGTGAGCAGAGCACAGATAGCCCATTGTGTAGCTTTCTGCTTAACTTCAAAAAATAAACAAAGAAATAAAACAGTTTAAAACTATGTGTCACGCGAACAGGTATCCTTCTAGGTTTTAGAACTGGAAAAACTATGTGTCACACGAATAGGTATCCTTCTAGGTTTTAGAACTGAAACATTTTGGATTTATTGAATAATTACCGGGCGTACCACCTGTTCAAGCGCACTGAGTAGACATGGCTACCTCTGAGGTGACATTTGGGAAGGGGGAGGTCGTAAGGGTTTGCGACACATACAGTGACTTTTGTCAAATAATATTGAATAATTGAATAATATTTCATATTTTGGAACACTCTATCGTTGTGTGACGAACAATGCACAGCAAGATTACTATTTAATTCCCTTTTATATGCTATGCTTCTATTCGTGATTACCTTATGAACTATTTAATTACCTTTTATATGCTATGCTTCTATTCGTGATTACCTTGTGAGTAAGCTCCTTCGTTTCATACAATTGTTGTAAATATTTATGAGTAGTTAATTAAAACGCTTTTTTTATGCATTTACAAAATAAATTCGACTTTCCAAGAAGGTGTTTTCATGATACAAATAGATTATTATGAATACTTCCAATCCAGAAAAAGGAGGATATATTTCAGTGTCGTTCTGATAACTTGTTTTGTAGAAGTCGTTAATTCTGAACTGCTCAACTGTTCAATAAAAATTAAAAGAGAAACGTAAACTTGGTCTCTTCATGTGTTAGGCCCGGCATGGCCAGGTGGTTAGGGAGCTCGACCCGCAATCTGAGGGTCACGGGTTCGAATCCCCGTCCCACCAAACATGCTCGCCCTTTCAGCCGTGGAGGCGTTTTTAATGTGACGGTCAATCCCACTATTCGTTGTTAAAAGAGTAGCCCAAGAGTTTGCGGTGGGTGGTGATGACTAGCTGACTTCCCTCTATAGTCTTTCACTGCTAAATTAGGGACGGTGCTAGCGCAGCTAGCCCTCGTGTAGCTTTGCGCGAAATTCAAAAACAAACAAACACATCTATGTGTTATTGAACAGCTGCAGTGCGTATGCACAAGTACATTAGTTCTAAAATCCTGAGAGTCTATTAACGTATCATGGTAAACTTTCATTGTAACGACAATGCTCGAATCCCTGCTGTTATCATAGTTTTATTATTTGACGCCCTTCATGTATTTTTAATGTTTAGTTTTCTGTATAATTGTAATATTTGTGATTACTGTTATGTTAATTGATTTTATCTTTATTCTCAGGTACGTTAAATTGTTGAATTGCTGATGATAAGATACAACTGGATGTGCATCATTCGTCATTTCCTGGGAAGGGAGACGCCTATCACGTGATTTCCGGTGTATAAGCCACTTTTTTCTTTTGTTTTTTTTTCCTACATGAATTCTAGGCAAGATTTGATCCTCAAGAGATAACAGAATGTCTAATGTTTGACGGCCTGAATAGAAAACAACCTTGTAAAAGTGCACATAAATATTAACGACATTGTTCTACTAGTAACAGAGAGCTGAGTGAAACGAAACTGATGATTAGCATTACTTTGGCTTGTAGTCTTTGATAAGAATGAAAAGTTTACCACAGATTAGCCAGTCTTTTTTGCCATTTTGCGTGTAATGTTTCATTCACTTTGGATCACCCTTTTCGTTAAAACTAACAATTGAGCTAATTTCAACAATTTGTCGATCTGGATTTCTTCTCTATAACCGAAAATCTTTTAAGCATGTGATGTAAACTGATAGTAAACTGTCTATCTATATGTCTTTTTTTTTCACTTAATCTAAAAAAAACCAGAAACGCGAGATTTTTCTCTGTAACACACGTCTAATTTGAGTTTGTAATCTGTATATCCACATTTTTAAATGAATCTGATACTTAATCATTAGTTTTAAACAAAAACTGAAAAAAGAAAAAACTTATAATGTTGAGGTCTGTAGAATATTTGAATTTTCTTACATCGTTTGTTGATTGCACTATTTATTTTCTTAAAGTTATTAATAAAATTGTACGAAACTCTAGTATATAATTAGTTTTAAACATAATACATTTGGCTGTTTGCAATAGCAGAAAATTTAACGCGTTAAACTAACAATATGCATATTTTCTGAAGGAAATGTTTTGTTTTTTAAGATGTAAGAAATTAAAAACTTCACTGATTATAAATAGAGGTGTTTGTGCAGAAAACAAATTTATGTTTAAATATGTTAGATACACATGCTTTTAAATCAGAGATGGACACGCGATGCCGCAAGTGACAGACGAGGCAAACACATGGCTGTCCTTTAAAAGTTATCACTTTTGGAGCCTAACGAAAAGTCTGTTTCGAATTTCCGCACATGCACGGAATATTATGAAAATACATGTCGTATTATTAATTGTTTTATTTAAATTGCAATACCTTATAATTGCTTGAACTTCACTTCCCCATTTGGGGCGTTTTTTTTTTTCTGGTTAATCGCCTCCTTACTCGAAATTCAGAACCTAAAATTGATACAATTGCTAAAACGATTGGCCACTCCTGGTTCAAATAACAGACTGTTTAATAGACGTTTTTGATCATGATTTGCTCAGTTGTTTTGAGTTTATTCATTTGTGATTTTTGTCATAATACGTTTTACAGATTGCTTTTGTTGGGGCAAAACTGTAAAAGAAAATAGTTTTTTTTTTTTCGTGCCAAACACTTTGTTTTAGTGCGGTATAAGTTTATTTTACTTTATCTGTATATTCGTATTTTCTCCCCAGTGAGGGATTGTAAGATATAAAAGGTGATAAATTATGCTCAAGTTCTGTACAGTCGGAGTTTATTGTCGACACTAAAGGGAAGACGAATGCTCATTTGTTTTGTTTTTTAATCATTTTATTGTCATTTCTATGTAGGGATATGATCTTCGAGCATCAAATATGAAATGTTAAAGCGGCAAAAACCAATGTTCTTAAGCCTATTTCTTTCTGTTTAAAACGTTGTGTTCGCTAAGGATGAAGAAAGATAAAATGGAGGGAAAGAGTTGTTAGTACAGAGCTACTGAATGGGCTATTTGTACTTTGTCCACCGTGAAGAATCGAACCTCGGATTTTAGCGTTGTAAGCCCGTAAAATTATCGCTAACCCACCAGGGAGACCAAATAGTAGTAGTAGTAGTTGTTTTTTAAATGCAAAGATACACAATAGACTATTCGCACTCTGTCTAACGCGGGGAATTTTAACCTCGGGTTTTAGCGTTGTAAGAAAGAAACAGAAATTGGGATCTTAACTTTTCAGATAGCTTTCTGTGGCCTCTAATGAGTCTTGAACCTGACTATATTGTGGAACGGATTACTTCAACATTAGGCCTATTTAATATGCGTATATGGATAAATGCGCTCTGAATTTGTTTACAGGAGATAAAGATGATGAATATTTCCTGTACATTATTTCCATAGGACGTTTTAATTTTGAGGCACAGTTACGACATAACTTTTTAGTTTTTATAACATTTTGTTGTACTAAATACTCCTATCAATACAAGTATAGTATTGAATACTGTCTATTTATAATATAAGTATGTGAAAATCTTTAGATCACTAACATCCCTCCAGGTGGGGTAGAGACAAACTAATAAACTCTGTTGAGAAATTTCAAGAATTGAAAGATTGAGCTACAACGTTTCTATATTGATGAAACTATCATAATAATGTCGCATCCGATATTTGGATATTAAAGCTAAAATTAGCAAAAATTTGAGCAACGGTGTCTGAAGACATGTGCAGACAATTTTATCACATTATTGAGATCCCTGCTTCAGACAAACGGGCAAAGAAAACAAAGGACTTGCAACGCTAGAAGCTGGATTTCGATACCCACGGTGGGCAGAGCACCGATAGCCCATTGTGCAGCCTTGTGCTTAACTGCAAACAATAAATACGTTGTGAATACTTACGTAATGGTAGGCAGAGAGAATGACACAGCTGTGTTTTCCTCGAAAAGCATACAAAACATAGAAAATCGTAAATGTACTTCCCTCTCTTGATAACTATTGTGTATTTAAGAAAACCTACTCATTTTGACTTCTCAGTTGTGTCATTTTATCGTGAATTCATATTTCTGTGAACATAATAATTTAATTCACATGGTAAGCCTTCGATGTTGCTATCCTTTGTTTAATGTGACGAGTCACAGAAAATTACGCCATTAAGAAACGAGTAGTTTGCTCAATCAAATCATGTTACCAGCCCTAATCAAATCATGTTACCAGTCCTAATCAAATCATGTTACCAGCCCTAATCAAATCTTGTTACCAGCCCTAATCAAATCTTGTTACCAGCCCTAATCAAATCATGTTACCAGCACTAACCAAATCATGTTACCAGCACTAACCAAATCATGTTACCAGCACTAACCAAATCATGTTACCAGCCCTAATCAAATCATGTTACCAGCATTAACCAAATCATGTTACCAGTACTAACCAAATCATGTTACCAGCCCTAATCAAGTCATGTTACCAGCACTAACCAAATCATGTTACCAGCACTAACCAAATCATGTTACCAGCCCTAATCAAATCATGTTACCAGCATTAACCAAATCATGTTACCAGTCCTAATCAAATCATGTTACCAGCCCTAATCAAATCATGTTACCAGCCCTAATCAAATCATGTTACCAGCCCTAATCAAATCATGTTACCAGCCCTAATCAAATCATGTTACCAGTCCTAATCAAATCTTGTTACCAGCCCTAATAAAATCATGTTACCAGTCCTAATAAAATGATGTTACCAGCCCTAATAACATCATGTTACCAGCCCTAATAACATCATGTTACCAGCCCTAATAAAATCATGTTACCAGCCCTAATCAAATCATGCTACCAGCCCTAATCAAATCATGTTACCAGCACTAATCAAATCATGTTACCAGCCCTAATCAAATCATGTTACCAGCACTAACCAAATCATGTTACCAGACTTAATCAAATCTTGTTACCAGCCCAAATCAAATCATGTTACCAGCACTAATCAAATCATGTTACCAGTACTAACCAAATCATGTTACCAGCCCTAATCAAATCATGTTACCAGCACTAATCAAATCATGTTACCAGCACTAATCAAATCATGTTACCAGCCCTAATCAAATCTTAGATTTGATTAGGGCTGGTAACGTTACCAGCCCTAATCAAATCATGTTACCAGCCCTAATCAAATCATGTTACCAGCTGGTAACATGATTTGATTAGGGCTGGTAACATGATTTGATTAGGGCTGGTAACATGATTTGATTAGGGAATAACCAAAACCTTTTTTTACTCGAAACTTTGTATCCAATAATCTCAACTGTGAATAAGGAGGCATAATGAAAAAAATTATCCGGAGCAAACCATTACTACAGAATTGTTTAGCGCTCTTAAGGGTGGTAGTTTTAAGTATTTACATAAATAGCTAAAAACATTTTGAGGTGTTTCGAAATGTTGTATTCGAGAAAAAAAATACTCACAACCATAAACAAAAAACATAATTTTTCACAAAAACACGAAATAGGACTGGTAACATGATTTGATTAGGGCTGGTAACAAGATTTGATTAGGGCTGGTAACAAGATTTGATTAGGGCTGGTAACATGATTTGATTAGTGCTGGTAACATAGTTTGATTAGGGCTGGTAACATGGTTTGATTAGGGCGAGTAACATGATTTGATTAGGGTTAACACCTGTTATTAAGACAAATCTTAACTTTTTATCAATACAGCTGTATAGGAAAAGTGATACCACGAAAGAACGTGTTTGTTTGACAACTTTTTACGAAAATAAGGTTTTCATAATATTTTAAATAATGTTAAAATGAACATTTTGGGGAGAAAGCACTCTCGGCTTTGATATTTAAATTAGCTTCAGTGTTATCTGTTTCTCAATTGTTTCATCGTTTCCATTTCTGCTTCCTTTTCGTCTAAAGTTTTTGCGCATATAAGTTATAATACAGTTATGAGAATAATGACAATGTACGTAGCCTAATCCGAAATAAACATTCATGTTGAATTCTGGATTTCAAAAGCTCCCGGCTTTCTACAGAGCGTTGTTTTGTATCATTATACCTGTGGATTTAGAAAGTCTAATTTCGTTGTGCATGTATATATATATATATATTTTGTCATGTATTTGTAGAAATGCTAAATTTTGTATACCGTTTTTCATAACTACATGTTTTGGTTGGTGTTTTCGAGCCTGAGCGATTGAAGCTTGTATTTCCCACTTACTCACAAATTGCTCAATCGAAATATCTTCGTTCAGTGTATATGTGTAAAGTAAGATGGGGTAGAACCTCGGCTGTCATATGACAGAAGATAACGAAGCCTGTGATCGAGTGCCCACTTTCCACCTGTTGGTTTATTGTCTGTTTGTCCCGATAGGTGGAGCATCTCTGTGATGAGAGCCTCCTCTCTTGCTAAATGTGATGTCGTTGAATTTTTAAAACAGTTGTAAATCGATACCCAATAATGTTATATACGAACTATACTTTGTAATGTTTCTTGTCTCTCTCTGCTCTTAGTTTTAACGAGGCATGATTATAACTGGCTTGAGTTATTTTAGTATGTAAAGTAGATTTTTGCACACACAAAAAATGGTAGAATATTCACGAGTCTCCCTATATTTTATATATGTATTTCGTCCTTTATTTAAGAAAGCTATAATAAGAATGTGAATAAAAAATTCGAAAATACTACAGCATGTTGTACTTTTTTTTGAAGTGTTTGTTATTCATGACCTACTAATAATAACCAAACACGAAACTTGTAAAATTACTGTTCTTAAAAACGGAAATATTTGTATTTCTGACAAGCTGTCTCTATCTCTTCACGTGTATGTAGAACATTCGCAAGAACTTGTGGGCACAAATTTATAAAAACCTATTTACATGTGGTATATTTAAATAGATATGCAAGTAACCTAGACGTGCAACTTTGTAAACATAAGTCTTTTTTTTTTTTCGTGGAATATTGGTCACATACAACACTAAGGTGCAGAGTAAATCAAAAGAACTGAAAAAAAAAAGAAGTAAAAAAATTGATTTAAAGTGAAACTTTATTTATACACTTGGACTCGAAAACATGCCTAGTGGTCAGCTGGATTTTACTGACGAGAAAAAAACATGACGATAATAACGTCTTTAGTAGTCTAGGAACAAATGACGAAAACTCTGGATTGTTTGTAATTAAGCACAAAGCTACACAACGTGCTATCTGTGCTCTTCTCACCACGCAGACATACCGCTGTGCCACTGGGAGCAAAAAAATCACACTACAGAAGAATTGAATAGGATCAACACCAACGGGATTGGAATAGATAGGTCTCCACCTTCATAGAAGTTGAAGTTAAGAACGGACACTTTCGTACGACTTAAACATTAACTAAATATTCAATAATCTAGAAATTTAGGGTGTGTATCTCTAATTAACATATTATATTGGTGTGAACGGACACTTTCATACGACTTAAACATTAACTAAATATTCAATAATCTAGAAATTTAGGGTGTGTATCTCTAATTAACATGTTATACGGGTGTGAACGGACACTTTCATACGACTTAAACATTAACTAAATATTCAATAATCTAGAAATTTAGGGTGTGTATCTCTAATTAACATGTTATACGGGTGTGAACAGACACTTTCGTACGACTTAAACATTAACTAAATATTCAATAATCTAGAAATTTAGGGTGTGTGTGTGTATCTCTAATTAACATATTATATTGGTGTGAAGGGACACTTTCATACGACTTAAACGTTAACTAAATATTCAATAATCTAGAAATTTAAAGTGTGTATCTCTAATTAACATGTTATACGGGTGTGAAGTTATAATGTGAAGGCATCACACTCCCTGTACTTGTAGACACCAGCTTGAATTTCCACCAGTTCAAAATCATAAATTTCACACAACTTCACAAGGTAAGTTAAAATGATTAACTTATAGGAACAACACAAAAACCTAAAAGAAAAACCCAACCAGAAAACAAAGCACGTTAAAAGTACCAGAAGCAACACAAAACTAACAATTAAACAGAATAACCTATCCGCAGTTTGTAATTTTCTTAAATACTTAATTATAGAAGCGGTTAATAAATGTCATCATTGAAGTGTTTTAAACAGTCTTTCAGCAAAATATTCGCTGTATTTAAGAAACATTGCTATTAAATGTCGTCGTGTTTACTTACTTATTTTGTGAACACACTCGCAAGATATCTGTATTTCCTTCGTTAGCTCAATTGCATATTAACGACAGTATTGACTATGACTTCCCTCAAATTGCTCATATAATACAAAAATACAAGATAAAACCATAAATTTAAATCCA